TGGGGGGGTGGGGGTGGGGGGGTGGGGGGGGTAGGTGGATTCAGCCTGCCAAGTCAAGCCTGCAGTGTGACAAGACCCCGCGCGGGGGCTCAGACTCACTGCTCTGGGCTTCCCGGCAGATTGAAAGAATGTCCGACACATTGGAGACAAGGAAACAGATTCTGCTGGAGTGCAGCGTTCAGTCTGGATCCCTGATGCGACGGCACACGGAACACCACACCACCCACCAAACCAAACGCCTCAATTCAGCAAAACAACGGCCCACTTGCAAACTTAAGTCCAAACGTGCCGGGAAATTCCCTGGCCGACAGGACACAGCCGGCTGTGAAGGGCCCTCTAGGGACTCCTGGGGCAACGTGAGCGCTCTGTCACGTGCTCCGTGGTCACGCAGGGGTGTCCCTGATCTCAGTGCCTGGGAGAGCAGATAGGAGAATCTGTGCAAGCCTCAGAGGCCAGCCAGTGGATGGCACTTTTAGGAAAGTAAAATGCCTGGAGTTAACCATTTTTAAAATTAAGTTGACAAAATTTTATAAAAAACAAGGGTTTTAACGACTCTTAACGTTAAAAAACAAACAAACAAACAAACAAAAACAACAGCAGCCATGACCCCTTGACTGTTACCTAACTCACTCCATCCTCATGGCCTCAAAGCCCCGCGAATGGGTTCTTACCCAGAGGGGTTGGCACGATGTGGCCCCAAGAGTCACTGGCCACCTCCAGGCCCTGAACTCACTTCCCCCAGGAGCAAGCATCCCACTACCCACCCCGGCCGGTGCAGAACTCACCTCCCCCGAGAAGGGGCCCTCCTCGGCCCTGGAGGCCTCGGCCTCTGTCAGGGGGTTCCTGAGGGTCTGCAGGAACAGGGCGGCCTTGCGCTTGCGCTCTGCTTGGAGCTGCTTCTCCTTGGACTCCTTGGAGGCCTGGGCCAGCTTCTCGCGGGCAGCGGCTGCCAGCCGGTCTTCCAGCTTCTGTTTGGCTGGAGGGAAGGGACAAAGCGGCAGCTGATCACGCGGGACAGCTCCTAGCAGGCAGTTTCAGGCCCACACATGGCAGGTCATAAGCTACAACGCCACGATGGGCGTCACTCACAGATGGAGGGGCCGAGGCGCGTGGCGAGCTTCACACAGAGCTGCGAGCTGCAGCGTCAGCGGCTCAGGCCCATCCGCTTCTCCGTGGGAAAGAGGGAGGCTTCTGGGACCACAGGGCCGTGAGGCTGCTGATGGAATAACTAACTGAGGGTGGCGCTGAGTTTGGTTGTGGTTTCTGGTAGGTTACAATGCTGATTCTTGGACGAGTTACTCTGAGGCTGTGAGGAAGGGGACTTGAGAACGAGGGCCCTGACCACCCCACGGCATGTCCAGGCCTGCACTCAGTAAGAGCAGCTGCAGGCACACTTAGAAACAAGGCAGGAGCCCTGGTGGCACCGTGGACTAAGCACTGAGCTACTGTCCTAGTCAGGCCCACCAACTGCTCCACAGGCGAAAGAGGAGGCTGCCTGCTTCATCGGTAAAATAACTACAGTCTTGGAAACCCTTGGGGCTGGGAAAGTCAGAATCGACTTGACAGTGGTGTGCTTGATAAATGTAGCTTGATCTGTTTGCACAAGTATAAGAAAAGCAATTTAAAGAAATCAGTCAGACAGGTAATAGCCACGAGGGGCAACATTAATGAGCTTATCTACCAGGAAGATCATCTCACTCTGGGGCCGGCACCACTGCCTGGGGCCTGGGGTTCTGGGAGGCAGCCTCGCCTGGTCCATTAGCAGGCGCAGGCTGGCTGAGTGCTTCACCTCAGGCTGCAGGCCAAGCGCAGCAGTGCCCTCCATCAGAGCCCATCAGGCAGCTGGCCCGCGGGCAGCGCAGGCAGCACTGTGGGAATGAACCCCCCAGAGGCTGGTTGTAGCCACTTTCCACGCTGAGAGATCCACCCCAGGGGCAGGGGCATGCTCAAGTGCACTCTCTTTATCTCTCTCTTTCTCTCTCACACACACATACACACACGGACCTTGCTTTGCTTCTAGCTCCTCCTGCGTAAGCTGGGGCTTCTTCTCCTCGACCACCACGCAGGGGGGTGCTGCCGCCGGGCTGGCGTGGGCGGCACTCCCACAGCTCTCCTGGCCCTCTTTGCTTTCCTCGTCATCATCACTGTCATCGTCCAGCTTGACACGGTTTTTCTCCAGGGGCAGAAGATCGTTTTCTTTGGCCTTGATGGCAAAGCTTATTGGGGCAAAGGAAGCTGTTGAGAGGGGCGAGAAGGGCGACAGGCTGAGGGAGGGGCAGAAAGTGCACGCGTCCATGGGCCAGGAGCAACAGGCAGGCCACACAGGCAGGCTACACAGGCAGGCCGACGGAGGTGGTGCTGCATGTGGCTGTGCGTCCCGATGTCCAGCTTTGGGAGCAGCCCCTGGATGGGTCCCTGTGTGGTAGACACTTTCCTGGGATTCTCCTGATGACACTCAGCAAAGAGGCGACAAACGCTCATGAATGACCCGGCCACCCTCCTGCCCCCACTGCCCACCAGCTCCCTTTTAGCACCTGATCCCTATGCACAAGGGGGCTTCACAAAGGGTGTGCGAGGGAAAGGTCACGATCCCTCATTCCACTTCCTGAAGCCCCTGGTGTTCTTCTGACCTTGGTCTTCCAACGCTCTTCATGTGCTGCCCTCAGAACCTCTCACCTGTCCCTACAGCCCAGGCTCTCTTAGGAGCTCCTCCCCAACTCCAAGATGATGATTTTAAAGTAACATTTTATCCTCCTTCCATGGCTGCATTTCTCACAGTCAGATGTTTAATCTCCCTCAAGTTTGTAGGATGTGATGTGGGTACCGCTTTTAACTTCCCCACTCTGCCAAAACGGACAGCTTGTTTTTGCCACCTTGCTCAATGCCCATCAGTCCAGATGGGAGAACATGGAAGGTCCTTCATCTGTGCTGCTACATGGAGCCCTGGGGCGACTCCGCTGGTTCACAGCTTGCTCTGTGGGAGATGCCACCTCCTTGCCTCCAGGTGTCTCATTTCCCACCTGGCAGGTTCTTGGGGAGCACTGACAGTCCACGGCCGCTGCCTGTTTTCTAGTGGTTCGGCTGACCAGTCTTTTCTCCATTGTTCAGGTTGTGGATGTTAGTTTCTGACCGGTTGAAACCATTTTGGCAATCTGATTTTTCTTAGGAAATGGTACTTTCCACTGGTTTTCAAGTTTATTCACAATGTAGTTATTTAACACAATTCCTGGGCACTTCAAAAGCGTTTATCCCCTTCTCCATGCTGATGTGTATCTGCACATTTTCTTCTCTACTAAACCTGCACGGCAATGGTCTATCTCACAGGTTTTCTGACTCCAGCCCGACATCTATACCTATATCTCATGTCCCTTCCTGCCCCATGCACACTGCATCCCACGGGTCTCCTGGATTCTGGGGCAGATGACTCCATCTCACAGTGTCTCCGAGGCTATGGCGCTGGAGGATTCAATGTTTTCTATTTTTTTAATAAACAACACAGGCACATAGGGTTTTAGGTTGTCCTGTGAATATACAACATTTACTGTAGTTGATCCTTTTTGGGTAAGAAAAAGTCTCACAATCCTTAATTCCTCTGACAATCATCCCTGAGGCTACCAAAAGCCCACTGCTGCATTTGGTAGTCTGGGGGAGGCCTCACCAGCCTGTTTTGTTGTTTTTTTCCCCCCTTTCCCGTGGAAGACCACCTCCACTGGGTATGATTCTTCCCACCTGCCCTTTCCTTGGAGATCTAAGAACAATTCTCAGCTTATCTGCTCACACCACCTGCTCTTAGTTGCTTTTGGGTTTTACAATCTGGCATGCTTTCTTAGACTGCGGGCCTCTTGTCTCACAGCTGGCAGGTCATCAGGTAAAGGTGAGAATACAAATTAGAATTTAGAGATATCCCTGCTACTTAGTGGGCTACCTCTCAGATGCCAATCTGCCCAGGAGCTCAGCTGTGCCCATCTTCTCTGACCTGAGTCTTTCTGAGGACAGCTGGTCCCCATCTCTGTATCCCTGAAGGAGCCCTGGTGGCAAGGCTGGTGTTTGAGGAAGAAAAATGAGTCTGCTGGCTCTGTTAGGATGTGCAGCCTCAGAAACCTTATAACCCTTGCTAACGCCAGGACCCTTTCATACAGTTCCTCATGTTGTGGTGACCCCCAAACCATAAAGTTATTTTTGTTGCTATTTCCTAACTGCAATTTTGCTACTGTTATAAATCGGATGACCCTTTCACGGGGTCGTCCGACCCCCAAAGGGGTTGAGACTCACAGGTTGAGAAGCGCTGCTATAAAGAGTCTGAGTTGGAGGGTCTGGATGATGGCATGTTCACTGGGCTGTGCCTGCAGAAAGGGGCAGGGCAACCTCTTTTCCAGAAACAAGCCTGAAAAGGTCCTGTTCAGATGCCCCACAACTTGTGATGGCTGCAGTCCCCAGAGCCCAGGGCTGGCCCAGGAGCAGAGGGCTCTGCGGTGCTTGGCCAGCCTGCATGGGTTGAGCTGTGGTCCCTGCTCCACTCCCAGCAGTTGAGGCAGGTGCCGACCGGCCTCCACGTGCAGACCCACTGCCCTTCCTGGAGACACTGGCAGGGCCAGAGAGCTGCTCCTCTGAGCAGTCCCGTTGGTTCTAGCCACAGGCTGACAGCAGATCTCCTGGGGGCCATGCCAGGTGCTCAGCTCCAGGCCAGCAGGCATATCTCCAGCACTGTCCAAAAGTTTGCATTTGCTAGAAGGTTTCACAGCTTCTGCAGTGCAGCCAGAGCCTGGGCCTGGTTCCCAGGGGGGCCAAATTTTTTCTTGCCCTCCTCAGTGAGAGCCTGCAGGTGGCCAGGAAGGGTCAAAGATTAGAGGCTCCACCCTGGCCTCTTTTACAGAGGGCTAAAGGAAAGTCTAAACGATTCACAGGAAGCCCAGTCACATTTGCCATGCTGATTGATGCCACGGCCTCTGTGCAGAGAGCAATGGCCGAGGCAGTTAGCTCATCACAGGATGCCTCTTGGCTCTGCACTGCTGGATCCACTACCATTCCCGCGGACCTGGTCCCCAGACAGAGCCTAGCCAACACTTCCAGAAGCTAGTCACAGGACAGTCCAGTGACCTTAGCACAGAGCGCACACACCCCACGAGCAGCCAGAGTCCGAGTTTCAACCTTTCCTCTGCTCCTCCACAGCCCCTGCCCACACCCCCAGACTTTGAGGAGTCCCTCCTGTCTTCCCAGCACACATCGCTCTAGTGGCCTGCCGAGCGGACTGTTTCTCCCGCGTTTCACCACCCAGCTCTCTGCTAACGCACCTGCCTTTGGCCCTCTGCTTTTTACTATGTGCCTTTTCACAGGCTGGCCGGGCCCCCGGGGAGCAGTTTCCTGTAGCAACGGGGGCCCACGAGGTCCTGAAAGTGGCATTGCCACTTGTTGACAGCCCTGCAGTGCCTCCCAAAGTGGGCAATGCGGGCCCCTGGGGGGCAGTGCTGAACGCCCCAGGGCGCTGCACAAGCAGATAGATGCCTCTCCTAGGAGGCCTGGTGGTGCAGTGGTTATGATTTGGGCCGTGATCCGCATGGTCCTCAGGAGAAAGATTGGGGTTAGTTTCGGAAATCCGAAGCGGGGCTGCTGCGAGTCAGCAGTGAATCAATAGGAGTGCGTTTGACTGGACGCTTTGTCCCGAAGAGTGGGATACAGTACTCAGTTTCCAATTGCCAGGGGGTGCAGTCATTTCTGAAAAGGGGTGGCAGGCCTGGTGTATGGGAACCTGTGCCCCAATAGGAAGCAGGGGTCCTGTCCCTGGTAGGTCAGTCAATGTAAAGAGAGCTACAATCCCTGGGTTCAGCAAACAGTCTGAAAGGATCTTAACAAGCCTGCCAACCAGCTTGCCTCTCTCTCTCTCTGACACTTGGCCTTTCCTGCACTTGTGGGTGGCTCTTCAGTAATTAGAACTCATTCTTGCTAGCTGAAAGCAGCCTCGCAGAAGAGGAGTGTGGGGTCCCTTGGTGCACCTCTCTGGTGAGGAGGGGCACTAAGCTTAGCTGGCAGGTATGGAGATACCTTTCACGAGCTTTCCATCGGGGACTGCTTTGCTGGATGCCGCCTCCTTCCTGCCCAGGGCTCCCCTTCCTCCTTCAGCCGTGTCTTCAGATGCCCCGTCGTCCACAGCCTCGCACGGGCTCTCTGATGCTGACTCAGCCGGCGCCTCCTCTGGGGTGGCCGTGGCCTGCGAAAGGGGACAGGACTGTGAGCCGCATGGTGTGTCCTGCAGGACCCCATGGTCTGGCCACTGAGCAGTGCAAGCCTAGGTGGGCTCTGTCCCTGGGAGGGTGCATGCAACTCAGCGATTGGACACTGCCCAGAGGCTGCTGGCTCAGAACACATGCAAGTCTCCCCACAGGCCTGAGGGCGCCTCCTGACAAGCAAAGCTGCTCTCTCCCTCGGGCAACCCCGCCCATCTGTCTGTCTGAGGGAGCAGGAAGGCAGCTGAGTCAGAAAGAGACACAGGTGCACAACAGGAGCAGGGTCTGCGAGGAGCAAGTGAGGCCCTGTCGTGCATGTTGTGGGGCGGGCTCCACGGGCTGAGTAGGTGTGCATGCACGAAAAGTGCATGGTCACCCAGACGAACACCATGGCCATAGAGTCATGGACTCCAAGCCCTTGAGGGTGACCCTGTAGGGCACAGTGCAACTGCGCCCCCCACGGGCTTTCCAAGGCTGCCAATCTTCATGGAGCACACTGCCTCCTCTTTCTCCCTGACAGGCTGGGGGGTTTGAACCGTGGTCAGTGCCAACCGAATCCCCAGGGTAACAGCCAATCAGAACATCCCTTGCTTGAAAATGGTTTTTTATGTCTAGAATGTGATGTGCATGTGGTGCAGTTGTGGTCCCATCTCCTCCCCACTGCCCCCCACCTCCCCAAAGACGTGCCTGTGTGCTGTCGCCCCCTTCCTTCTGGAGGAAGAACTGCTTCTTAAACTCATAGTAGGCGTTGTACTGGTGCCAGGGCTGCAGGAACTCAAACCTAGGGGACAAGAGGACAGGGGAGCAGGTCATGCACATGGTCCACAGCACCCAACACAACTGCACTCTGTGACAGCCACCGTCCCGAGTGCCTCACAGTCAGACACTCTGGCCTGCCCCACCCTACACAGGGAGGGTCAGCCCCCACTCTACACACAGGAGGGTCAGCACCCCCACTTTACACACAGAGAGGGTCAGCACCCCCACTCTACATACAGAGAGGGTCAGCCCCCACTCTACCCACAGGGAGGGCCAGGACCGCCCCCACTATGTGCAGTGAGGGTCTGGGGACGCAGCCCTTCAGCTTGTTTGGGCTGAGCTTCAGTGTTCTGTTCCACAGAGGCAAGCCAAGCCAAGCCAGGGGACACACTATCACAGACTGAAAACCACCCAGCTCTAAGTCATGTCACCAGGTAATGAAAGGGCAGCCCAGGCACCGAGGTCAGGGCAGACGCCACCCACAGTGACACCCAGCTCTGCACCTCACCTCTGGTCATTCTTGGCTCGCACGCTGGTCTCAAACTTGACGCCATTGCGCGCCACGTACTCGGCCAGCTTGTCGATCACAGGCTGGATGTCCGGAGGAGGGGGGATTATGGCAGCCACAGGGGTGAGGGCACTGTGGGGACACGAGGCAGGGTCAGCCGGCCCATCAGTCCCTGAGCTATGAGCAGTAAGCATGACTTCACCAGCTTGGACAGAGCCCCGCCTCTGTGGGAAGGTATGGGCGTGCTCCTGAAAGGCAGTGTGTATAGTGGAAGCACACCAGGCCTGTGTGGGGTGTGTTGTCAGTGTAATGCAACACCTTTCATTTCACACGTGCCAGCCGGTGCATGGCCACTGAGGAGGCCATCCCTGCAGGCATGTGAGCTTCAGCGAACTTACCCAGAACCCTTTCACCCAGTGCCAACCACACGTGCCTGCCCCTCCGAGGTCTGCCCCGTGTCCTTAAGAGGCTGGTAGCAGGCAGGGGACCAAGCACTCCAGGTCCAGGTCGGTGTCTGCCCTGTTCCTGTGGTCACCAGGTCACTCACCAAAGGCTTGTGAGTGTCCAGAAACATGGCATCCTCACGGCCAGCTACTTTGTGCAGTGCCTTCCCCACCCCCACCCCAGGCCGATATGCTGACAGAGTGGAGACCAAGCTGCCTTCTGCTTTCCTGCTTGAGCCGTCCCAGCATGGGGGCCAGGGTGGGGGCGCTAGAAGGAACCCAGACCACAAACTGTGATGTGAGGCAGAGCTGTTGGGGGGGAGCACACCTGGTGGTGGTGGTAGTGGAGGTCACCCCACTGCTCGTCTCTGCAGTAGACGGGGGCGGTGTGGTCCCAGGAGGTGGCGGGGCAGAGGCTGGCACGCCGCTGGAGCCGGACACAGTCACACCAGCGGGCAGGCTGCTGTAGTACGTGGCCACGTCTATGCCGGGCGGGGGCGGAGCCAGGCAGTAGGTGCCATCAGGTAGCATGTAGTAGCTGTAGTACATGGCTGCTACTGTGGCTGTCAGGAGACACACGTGTGCAGGGGTGAGCGGCAAGTGGCAGGCCCCTCCTGGCAATGCCCTGCCCTTGCTGACCACACGCTGTCCCCCCCTGCAATGCCACTGTGCAGGTGGACATGCCTTAAATGGCCAGGATGCTCAGGCCAGGGCCCCTCTCATCGTGTGGGTAAATCTCTCTCTGGCCCCAGGTACACAGCTTGTGCACCTGCTGGGGCTGAGACAGAGCCCTGTGGGGACTCTCATCCTGCAAATCCCTGATGGGACACTTCCTGCCCGGATGCTCTTACGGACGATGCCGAAGCGCCCGTCTGGGGGCTCCCCAGCACCAGCATGCTGATTCCGATGCACACGAGCCAGGGGGCAGCAGACAGAGCGGGAGGACCCAGGCTGGATGCCTAGCTCCTAGGGTTTGGCAGAGCCAGTGCGCACTGGCTCTGGGCTTCCCTGCCCCGGCTGGATAGCCTGCCTGCCCTCTCCCAGTGCCTTTCTGCTTGGCTGGCCTGCTGTAGAGCTGAGGCAAACTGCTGCTATTCCTGCGTGCTGGCAATGAGCAGCACCTGGATGTCGGCGGGAAGCAGCAGGGGCGTGAGCGAGCTCAGAGGGAGACAAACGGACCGAGAGTGTGGGGTGATGGCAGACGGCCCCACTCTCAGGGGCTCACCTGGGTCCCACTAAGCACCGCAAGGCAGCAGCACCAGGGACACACGCTTGCGCACAGCCCCGTGGCTGGCTCAGGCCCGAGCTCAAAGTGCTGCAGTCTGGATGCCTCATACACTGTCAAACCAACCCCACTCTCCGAGGCCGAGTCTCACCCCCCCACCCCTCCTGTGAGCTCACACCAGCTAACGGGGAGGGCCACGGCAGAGCCTGGGGAGGGGTTCCTCATTCTGTGGACAGGAAGGTTGGAGACACCGCAGAAGAGCAGGGGTCGGTTGGCTGCAGACGCTGTGAGGGGGCTGCAGCAGGACTCCCAGGCAGGCCAGGAGCCAGCGTGTGAGGCAGGGGAGACACAGGTCAAGAGTGGGCAGAGAGCATACTTAGGGTAATGGCCTGAACCCCCGAGTCTGTGGTGAGCAGCTGATATATAGGAGGTGGGGAAAGCAGGCTGAGGCAGAATGCAGATTCTTAGGGCACCCCTTCCTTGCCGACGTCCAGCCTCCCTCTAAATTCGCACGGTCTTCCTCTCAGGGAACCTGGCCCATAGTGAAGCTGCCTCTCACGTTACACCTGCCAGCCCGCCAAGGAGCTCCTGGCTAGGGTCCCTCCTCTCACAGCTAATTCTGGGGCAGAGAGAGCCTGGCAGACTTCTCCTCCTACCAAGGGCCAGAGAGCAAATGTGTCAGTCTCCACAGGACAGGAGACACTATTGTGTAAGTACTTAATACAATGAGAAAAAAACGTTCATAATTTTTCCTGATTAAAGTAAAAACATTAACAATATAATAGAAGCAGTGAGCACAACTGGAAACAAAACAGAACAAATTTCTAAGGGTGCTGCCAGAATTAGAATGGACTCGGCGGCAGTGAGCTTTGGAGTTTAGTGGCAGTGTGGGCTGAGTGCTAGCTGCTCACTGCAAGGTCCACACTGGGTGGTGGCACCCCAACTCCCCAGCCCCAGAGACTTTCAGTTTCCCGTTGCCCCATCCAGTCTCTCAGGGACAGAGGCTCCCATGGGCAGCAGAACTCTCCCTGCTCCCCGAGGGGGCATTAGCTCCCTAGATCTGAGACTTGGGGAGCAGAAGACCTCAGTCCAAAGCCACCTCCCAGGGTTTACTAGGCTGAGAGACCAAGGTCAGAATGTGTTACTTTCGGTCCAACAAAGAGACTAGGGGAAGGTTTGGCTACGCACTTACGACACCTGCCACCAAAACCGAATCCTTCTGGACATCTCACAACTCACATCCACTCTCCCCTTCTGTCTTACCTCCCCTCTCCTCACACACACACTTCTAGAAAAGCCCATCTTAAAAAACAGTATTTAAGATCGTCAGCAGTCACTCATATAAAGTGTTCTGAGTCTTTAGTCGTGATGAGGATCTGAGAATATAGGTTTTGGAGGGTCCTGGGCAGAGAAAAAGGAGCCCTCGGGACGCAGTGGGCTAAACACCGTGCTGCCAACCACCGGGGAGAACGACAAAGCTGCTGTCTGCTCCTGGGAGGGTCTGTCACTTCCAAACCCAACGGAGCTGCTCCGCCCGACGCTGTGAGCTGGAGTCGACTGGACCGCAGTGGGTAGGGTTTGAGCCCCCACGTGGTGAGGCGCCCAGTGGGCGAGGGTGAGTGAGGGAAGGCTGAAGAGACAGCAGTGAGCAGAGGGGAGGGCTGCATGTGGCAGAGCAGCTGCCCAGGCGCGGGACAGCCCAACTCCCCAGAGGGCTTTGGCCCACAGACAAATTGGGTAAGACAGGAACTCAATAAAGCACTCAGAAAAAGCAATAAAACATGCCCAAGACCAGAATGGATGCTGGGGAGTGAGGCCGATGGGGCCAGTGTCTCCTTGCCTGCACTCGTACGGCTAGCGAGTACCACTGGGGGAAAAACCCAAAGAACACACTTCCTGACACACAAAATGTACACACTTTTCAAAGCATACAGCCCAGCCACACGGACTTGCAAAAAAATGAAACAAGCAGCATCATGCCGATTCCCCATCACTGGACATGAGCAGGCAGCTTCACGCCCTGGCTGGAGCTGAACTGCTGGCGTTGTAGTCAGTAGCACTAGGTCTCACTCTCAGCACCACCAAACCCTTTGGAGCTGCAATAACAACACTGAATCACTGCTGGAGCCGGATAGTCTGAAATTGTTATCAAAGGTACCAGCAGTCCCCCTCTGGCCCTTTGCAGAGAGCTTTCCAACTCCTGCTGCTGAGGTGACAAAACAAACTGAGCACCACACTACTGTTCTAGAGCCAATGTGACACCTTTCGGCACCGAACAGTACAGACAGGCTCAGCATGAAGTCGGTGACCTCGAGGACCACAGTGAGGGGACAGCAGACGCGGGAGGGAGACATGACACCAGATCCCCAACCAGAAAACTGGAGTCTGGCACTAAAGGGGCACAGAGCAGACGTGACTGGAATGAGGGCCGGAAGTGGGGACACAGGCACTGATGACATCACCAGAGTTAGGGGTCAAGAGGAGACTTTAGGTGTCCAGTTATGAGAAGGAGCCGCCAGGGCAGGGTAGGCAGCCCTCAGGGGCCTCACAGCAACGCTAAGGCCCAGAAGACAAAGCAGCCAACTCTAAGCAAGTGTGGCTGGATAGACAGCACTTGCCAAGTTATTACTTAGGCTAAAAGGGAGTGGGCGGACACTTACGATCATGAAGGCGCTGCGAGAACACTAAGCACTGCAGGGCAGTGAATTATTGAAGAGGGCTCTTTGGCAGCCCTCCTCCATTCTGTAACGCCCTACGAGTCCTAGTCTCTCAGTCTGAGGCAGGATCGGTGCCACAGTGATCTGGAGGGTGTAACTACGTCTCCACCCCTACCTCAGCCACCGCCCTACACACCTGCTGTGCACTACCTTGCTCAGGTGAGGGGAGTTCCACAAACGCAGACCTGAAGACTCCTCTTCCAGCGCTGGGTCTGTTGTCAGACTCCAGGTAGACCAGCAGCCTGTCCTCTGACCTAGCTCACTAGCTGCGGGAGCTGATGTCTTGCTGTTTGACCTGCTGAGTGGGACTCTGCGCACGTCTGAGTTGGGAGAGGCCTCCAGACGGCTGCTTAACCCACAGGTGTGCCAGCCCCACACCACAGGAGCCACTTCGACCATTTGTGGGTTCTGTGAGACACTGCAGTGAATTATGGAGCCCAGGGAGGAGGGCAGGTACCAAGGGAAGGAGGAGAAGCTGCTGGCAGAGAAGACGGAGTGACAAAGCAGTTTGGAAAAGTGGGACACTTGGGGGTACCTTTATCCTTCACCTGACAAGAATGTTGATGCTTCTAAAATAAATTACTGATGCAAGTACATAGGAGCAATGAATAAAAACCCATCAACGAGAGGCCCCAGGCCTAGCCATGGTAAAAATGCATGTGCTAGATGCTGGCAGAGCAAAAGTTCACAAACTCTGTCTGAGAAGTGAACGCCACCCACAAATTTCATACCCAGACCAGCTGTCCCTTCCACACAAGGGGACCAGCCAGGTATTATTCATGTATACACAGGAGATCACAGGAAAAACCCACCAGTTTAGGAAATCTAGACAAAGGGCTGAAGTGGACAGGCTGTGGTGAGAGAGCAAGCCCACTAGACTGTACAACCAAGAGCGAGCAGAGCTGTGACAGACAGACTGGACCACCAGTGCTCAGGGCCAGAAGAGGCTGACCAAAAGCAATCCGGAGCTGGGGAAAAAGGGCGATGAGAGAGAGTCCATGAGAGCTCATTTCTCCAGCTTCATAGTTGCTTAGTCTGTGGTAGGCTGTGTGCCACTGATTGGGGCAGGGTTCCCAGCCAGCTGGCAGCTGAGACCTCCCTATGATGTGTGATGTGACCTAACAGTATAATCAGCTCCACGACAGAATCTGCTGTGACGACACAGGTCACACGCCTGACGCAACTGAAGGGAACTTCCCTTGGGGGTGGGGCCTCCTCTGTGGAAAGGCTAGTCTCTTCTCTTTGGCCTGGATCCTCTAGCTGTCCCCTCAACCTCCGGCTGATAACCCACCCCATCACCTGCACACTGGGAACTATCAGTGGTCTGTCAACCTTGGAGCCGTTAGATTCTGCAACCAAGAGCCTGATCTGCTGAGCCACCGGCCTCGGCCTCCACCGGCCTGCCGTCTGTTTCTGGGAGCACCTCCCTGCTTTCTGGTTCATCTTTAGCCCCAGCAGCAACTCGAATCCAGAAAAGCCTCCAGCCTAACATCTGACCCACGGACTCCACTGGACTTATTTGCTCTATGGCTGTGTGAGCCACTTTCTTGGCCTACATGTCTTTCTTTTAAAATTATTTTTAAATGCCTTTCTTTATATTACCATATATATCTACGTATGT